TATGTGTATAAATTATGAGTTCTTAAAATAAATTAAGGTTGTCCATTAGAGGCATCTTCAATTCTTTAGGAAAGGAGGCGTGAACGCGACATTGCCTATTTATTTCTCACGCTCGCACCCGCCCACGCTTTGACACTTACAGCAAAGCAAATGCAGCTTTAATATGTACGACCTGCGAACTCCTGGGAAATCCTAACAGTGTGAACATGAAAATGTGTTAATTCGTTATTCGCACAAGGCTGTTACGTAAACACACTGTAGCATGAATTTACTGGTTATAACTACGCACTAAGAAATAAGCAAAAGACAATTAGTAAAGTACTTAAAGACACCAAGTAATACCTTAATTTCTACTCTCCTTTGTTGCGCTTGAAATCCGTATTTTAATACAATAAATCCCAAGCCTATTAATTTCCAAAAGAAAAGTAAAATTGTAAAACTAGGCTACTTTGTATTTATCGATTACGAGTACTCTTTTCGATTAAATGGCTTTAATCTGTTATAGATTACTGATCTATTTAATTTATTTTATCAGAAACTAGCTGTCGCCCGTCACTCCGTTCACGCTTTTCCCGACTTCTTTCTACATGTATGCCAAGCCCCTTCTGACAAATATTCATGCATCCATATAGTTTAACTCTAGCGTTTATGTATAATATTATTATAGTATTTGAATTAAGATTTTCGCTTGTCTCTTATGCTTTAAGCTACAAAGCTACTAATTTCAAGCATCATTATTGACACTAATAGCACCAATTGGAACTTTGGAAGTCCGCCGCCTGTGAGACTAAGTAATTACGACGTTTGGTGGCCACTGCCCATCCGACTTCCGTACTTACCCATCTCAGTAAGTGACTTCCCACTTAGGGACATGCTAAAACACCATAATAACTGTCCACTTATAGATCGAACAAACACTATTGTACACAACGATAATAGCTTAGTCCTAATAAAGATAAATCCGTATTGAATTCACATAAACACATTTGGAATTCAATTTATCGACAGTTCATTGTAAATACGTAAAAGTTTACACATGTAAACAGTTTAACATTTACTGAAGTATTATTTATACTTTAAATAAACATTTTATTTTTATGAAATAATTTTTAATTGTAAATTTAGGATAATCTGGTTATAACTTCATTTAATTAATTAAATTTTCTTTGCAAAATTCGTTAAACTAAAAGGTATTTGTAATACCCTAATTAAAACAGTAAAATTATAAATAAGATTGCGAACTATTTCAAACATATCTCGGTAAAAGTTTTATTAGTATAATAAAACCACAAAATTTTCTTGCTAAAAACTTCTGTCTGTTATATTAACTAGATTATATTAGCATAGAGAGGAGTGAATTTATAAAATTTTTAATATTGTTATAAAAGTTAAATGTTTACTAGAATAATTAGGTGTAGATGATATAATACTAGGATTATTATCCTGTAGATTTAAACAATGACAGATAATGCCCGTGGGCTGTAATCACTATTATAGTAACTTTAGGTGGATCTGGAACATAATACATGTGTTTATGCTTCATTGTACAATGTGGGCATAATATCTTGTTGATCTAAATCGAATCTATGGTATTGTTAGCTTGTATCCAGGGCCGGATTTGGTATTTCGGGCGCCCTTTGCTGATTTTGCGGCGCCCAGAATTTTTGGCAGGGGGGGAATTTCCAAAGATAGAATGTTACGGGGCGACGCAGGCGCCTTTTTTATTTGGCTCCGGCGCCCCCTCATACCCGGCGCCCACTTTAACCCGGCGCCCAGCGCTGTCATCGTACCATGTACTTCATCTTACCCTAACACCAATACTGCTTTTATCACAATGTCGTAGGAGCTTAACGTATTAACCATATTCCCAAAACTATTTAGTGGCTTCAATATTGATAAATTAGATTAATAACAAATTATTATTATTAGATCAGCTAATAACAAGGTATATATAATGTCTGTCATCTGTTAATAACTTATTTTTTAAACCTGGCCGCTTTTTTGGTACTACGGTAGTAAACTTTCTGGTCGTTTGTTTTATTTTTAAAGAAATTTAAAACCAAAACTAATTATTTTAAGTCGAAGATATTATATTTTTTACTACCGCAATCCTATACTGGATAATATTATTTTCAAAAATTATTTTATCGTACGCAATATGTCTTTCAAACATTTATTACATTCGCTATAAAACATAATCTCTGACATTTATAGCCGCAATGATGAGGTATGGGAAACTTATTGTTATTGTAATGTATCTTCACACGTGCGTATTTCACAACACAATCCGGAGACACGTGTGAAAGGTCCCTTACCGTTAGATGGTTACTAATTGATTATTTTACGATGCTACACAGTAAGCGGATGATAGTATAATGAATCAGGACGTTAAAGTAGACAACCGGTCGGCCGCTGTTACCATGAATTGTCCAAACGCAACAGGGGGTCTTTTTATTGAGAAAACGTGGGTCACTGCTAACGGTTTAACCTTAAAGGCGAAACGGAAACTAGTCCAGTTAATATTTAAAGGATCATAATAGAAGCAATAAAAACTCTTTTTGTCTGACGGTGTCAAATGCCACGATCTTGTTTGTCCTTAACTTGTTTATTTTAAAGTCGATGCATTAAACTTATTTGTGTTTTGGGGCATTAAAAATGTAATAAAAAACTTTCCTCGGGTTAAAAAATCACTTAGATAAGATTTTATTACGCATTTTATTAAGGACCTCGATTAGCTTACGACTGGTTGAGACTTACTAAAGAATGGTAAATGATTATTATAGAAGCACATTCGAGTAAGCATTAGTAACAATAATTTATTGATCCCGACACCTAAGAAATTATTTGTCGTGTAACTTTTTTTCTCTAATAACGATAAAATAAACGATAGTCCTTTGTTTCGTTTAATAGATTACATTGTTTCATTTATAACAGTTTATAAAGAAGTTTTATTTTTCGTTCCGATAATTCAATAGGAATTGTTTTAGGGTAAAGTATCTAATTATGGGCTGTTACTTAACATCCGTTAGTCGATTATCAGCATTGTGAATATAATGCTGAATTATTATGGGGTTATGAGTCACATAGCCGTGAGAAGAGGCTCCGAGCGGAGCAGCGCGGCGGCGTGTGGGCGATCCAGTCGCGTTCAGTCGTTCCAACAAATTACCTTTACTCACTTCTGAGTACAACGTTTCGTGTTAACTCGTACTACGACCGGCGCGAAACTCTGTGTGCATAATACTCGAGCATAAAAAAATAAAAACACTCCACCCAACAAGTTTTGTACCTACCGCAATAAAAAAGCGTAGAAAGACATCGAGTAACCTTGACTTTACCTTATGATAAGGATCATGTTTTGGATCTTATTTTTATCCTTGCTGAATTCTATATAATTAAGTAAATTGTGATCACCCGTGATTTAGTAAGCGTGAAATAAAAAGTAGCCTAAGTTACTCCCGCACATGTAAGCTATCTTCCAATAAACGTCTTTTCAAAATCGGTCCAGCCGCTTAGGAGAATACTCAAAACAAACGCGGACGGACAAAAATTTTAAAAATTGTATTTCCGTTAAAACATCATGTTCACGAAATATGATTTTATGATTTTTCGATATCACACACAGACACTCCAATACTATTAATTGTACAGTTGAAATATACAGAAAAAAAACCAACCGTGGAAATAACTGTCCATAACTGGTACAGGAATAAATACCGTTCACAAACATACGGCAGTTCCACCTGACGTGGCTACAAATCCGTATAAAACATACCCGTGTAGCCGCGACTGAATCGCAGTACTGGAATTCATTTAAATTTCAGCCACGCCACTTCCGAATACACTTTTGTGTATTATTTTTTGCATGACAGTGGGCTAATGTTTTTCACGGGTATTTACGTTTTTTCTAATAATAGCTTGATTACGTCAATCGAACAGTTAAACGAGATCCAGCAACAACATCTGGTTGATTTTACCAAATCACTCTACCGCGTAGGAGACGTATAGAAAGGGGAATATCATCTTTCTGTGCGTTCCTTCCTCTGTCGATTAAAGGCACAGAACCCATCTGTAAAGGTGAATGATTTTGGGCAGCGGTCGCTTCGCTATTTGGGTGATTTTAGGTGGCCGCTGGCTCGCTTATCTTATGAATATCAATTTCTATTCTTTTAGAGTATTTTATATAGTCTATTGAGCTTATAAGTTTATTTATATTTAATTAACTGTGGGTTTCTGAGATCAAAATTGTCGTTTAAAACAAAATGTTATATCAGAATTGTCAAAGATAATGACAGGGATGACAATGTGGTTCATACAGATATTTAGGTCTCAGAAATCATCGAATATTAAGTTTAATAACAGAAAATGTTTGCCTGGAGTGATATATCTGTTGATTACGATATTAGAGAAGTGTAAAACGTGCAAAAATGCGCTGCGGATGATAAAAATTGAGATAAAGAAAACCGTGGGGTTATCGTGATAGCACAGTATACTCTGTACTCTTATCAGTAAACATTTCACTATCAGAGATATATTTTTATCAATGACTTATATAATTTTATCGGAATTAGACAAGATGGGTAGTGTGATAAGTGAAATCACTTTTTTGGAACAAAGATCAAAGAAACATAACTTCATCGAAGACCTATTGTCAAATAGAATTTACTTACACATAGCTCTTGAAATTCTGGGGCTCGTAGACGTCCTAAGTATATTTTGAAAACCTACTTTTATAAGCAATCATAAAATGTTGATTTGAATTTGAATATCAGTAAAATTGACGTAGACTCATAAAAATAATTAAATGTAAAATAATTATATGAAAAAAAAAGCCTTGTATTATTTAAATAAATTATCGGGTAAATGTAAAATAAGGTGATTTAAATGTCATTGATATGTTATTCTTATTAAATATTTATATTAATGTTTCAAACTTATATTATTGTATATCGTGATAAAAAAAGACCTTGATATTAAAACAACAAATTGTGTATTTGATAAAAAATATTCAGTTGACTCGCGTTCGTCTTTCTAATCGCACTATGAGTATTATTTATGGTGATCAAAATATTTTTCTGCCATCTCATGGTAACTACGGCAGATACTTATTGGATAGTATTTTAAAATGTAAAGATAAAATTGCTTTGGTAAGTACGAATGTTTTATATTTATGTTGTATTCAGTTACTAAATGTGATTTACAATAAAAATAATGAGTGTTGTCATCATCATCATCAGCTCACTATACGTCCCCACCGAGGGGCTCGGAGCCTACCCTTAGTTAAGGGTGATTAGACCATAGTCAACCACGCTGGCCAAGTGCGGATTGGTTGACTTCACACACATCTTTGAATTACTTCTCAGATATGTGCAGGTTGAATCACGATGTTTTCCTTCACTGTAAGAACGTCGGTTAATGTGTGTTGTGGTTGTGTGTAATTTTATTGTGTATAAAAACATGTTTCTCCATCTGAAAGACTCTCATTTGAATTTCTGTAACAATTGAATTGTGATCGCAATTTACAAGCAGGCTTAACTTGAAACGTATCGAAATAAAAACGGAATTAATCCGAGTTGAATGGAGCAATCCAACGAAGACTTAACTTTGAAAGGTCGTCCTGAAATGAATGGTCTCTTTCAATTATTTGAACAGAACGAAAGTCCGAATACTTAATTTTCTTTCAATGTAAAGATCGGTTCTGTCTCCCAGCTATCTGTCTCCTGGAATTCTGTCTTGGAAAGTTTTGTGTTCGATTCCGAATGTTTTACAATCAAAATTAAAACTTACTTTAACTGGTTATTTCTGGCACACCGGCTTTATTTTTTGTTTGACAACTTCTTAACTCCAGAGTTAGTATGGCTGATTTACTTATATCAAGAAGCTCTGAACAGAAAACTTTTTCATCTGATAAAAATGAATGATAATTATTTTAAACCTAATAATTACTGGTCTGGTCTATATTATTAGATTAACTTTCAATTTTTATAGATAGATGGAGCTTATGACAAAACAATCACTTTTAGTGACTTAGCTCAGAGGGCAGTGAATTTAACGTCTTATTTAAAAGAACAAGGTGTTAAACAAAACGATGTTGTGGCATTGTGCAGTGAAAACAGGATAGAATATATGATAACAATAATCGGAGTATTTTCTTCAGGCGCTACTTTGGCGTGTATCAATAACGCCTATAGTGATGGTACGTATTGGTTAAAAACATGTAACATAATACGCGCTTGGTCATTTACTGGAATTTCATTAATGTAATTATATTAAATCTATACATATAAATCAAATTTGAGTGTCTGTTTGAATATTGAAATAACAGTTTTCTACTACATGTATATGAATATACGGTACTTGCACCAAAATAACATTTATTACAATTTTTGTCTGTTTGTTTGTTCCGGCTAATCTCTAAAATGGCTGGACCTATTTTGACGGTACTTTTATTGGCAGGTAGCTAATGTAATAAGGAGTAACTTAGGCTATTTTTATTATAGAAAAAATATTTTATTCTAGAAAAATAATGTAATGTTGCAATGTCCAAGTACTGTCCAGTACCGCGCGAAGCTCAAAGACAGTATTTCAAACGGACGAAACCGCGAGCACTAGTTAGTTAGCACTAGTTAAAAATAAATATTAGAAAATAGATGTAATAGCGTATATTAGAGAGCAATTACGCTTTCCAAGAAATTAGTTATAAAAGTAATAAACAATAATAAACAGACAGTCGTACCCTTAGTAATAACATTAATAAAGTTGTCTCCTTTAATGTAAAGAATTATGAACTTAATGGTCTTTGATTATAGAGATAAAAAACAATAGATAAATGCGATGATGATGATGAAAAAATATTCGTAATCCAAAAGAAAGTCAAGAGACGAATCCATAATATGGATTAAAGCAGCAAGAAAGTATGTTACCAATATTTATAATATGATTTTTTTTAGATGAAATGACACATTCTCTCGATATAGCTAAACCTAAATACATATTCCTATCACCCGAGACACATGAAAAGTATAATAAAATTATAAAAAATAGAAAAGGCATAGAAAAAATAATTGTGTTTGAAAATACCAAGAATACAAACGCAATTAATTTTGACGATATAGTGACGAAAAGGAATGTGGATGTGAAAACGTACAAACATGTAGATTTAAAAGGTAAGAGAAAATTTAAAACTAAAACCGAATGTTTAGTACTAACATGGCGTAATATGAATTAATTACTTTTAATTCTTATTAATAGGTGGAACTGCTTTAATTTTATATTCATCGGGAACAACAGGACTTGCTAAAGGTGCAAAAATAACCCATACTAATTTAATAACTTCAGCTCAACAATCACTGTAAGTTCATTTAGAATAACATCCATTTACATTACAATATTATATTTAATAATTGACCTTTCATTGTATTTCATTGAATTAATATTACTTCAACAGACCATCAACTAGAGACCTTATCACAATATTTGTGACTCCCTGGTCTAGTACTATGGGACTAATTTGTTCGCTTCATGAAATCGTCCAAGGCAAAACCATAGCATTTCTTCCAAGGTTCAACGAAAGACAATATTTAAATGCTATACAGAAATATAAGGTAAAATGCTTCGAAATCTTACTAATATTATAAATGCGCATGTTTAGATGAATGGATGGGTAGATGTTTGTTTGAAGGTATCTCCAGAAAGGCTGAACTGATTATTCATATAGAACATAGTCTGGAAGAGCACATAGCCTACTAATTATGTTTTTTTTAATTCGGCGCCTACAAAGTCTCGGGCTAGTAGTTGAATATATTTAGGATAGTTCTGTTACTTGGTTAAAGGGATCTTTTATTTCAGATAGCAATTTTAACAGTAGCCCCACCTGTGGTCGTGATACTTTGTAAGTCAACTATAGCAAAAGAATATGACTTAAGTTGTGTGGAAATTATCCATTGTGGCGGTGCTCCTTTAAATATGTCAGTTATATCGGAACTTAAATCTAAGTGAGTATTCTTGATGATTTGGTATTTCTAAGAAACAGTTGTTCAACAGTGGTAGAGCCCTTTTTAACATCTTCGCACGAATTGGCCCGGCTCGCACGGTGAAATACCACGACCACACAGAAGACAGGCGTGAAGTGGAAGCAATTCCGCGTTTCGTCTGATGAGTGTGCGTCCCGGAGGCCTAATTTAGTTCTCTTTCCTTCCCACCCTTTTTCTTATAGGATGAGAATTGGAAGTGGACTTTCCGAATGAGAGGATGCATGGAAGGTATGCAACGCATATGCAATTCCGTATGTCTATGGGAAACGGCCACTTCGCTATTTCAGCGATTTCAGGTGGCCGCTCGCTGGTTTGCGACCTTATGATATAAAAAAAAGAAACCCACTGCTAATTTTTGTAGCAATGCTTAACCTCGTATTCTTTGCTATTTTTGTGAGAGATCTGAACAGAATTTCTAATGCTTCGTTTTATGCAGGTATCCACATATTAAGCACGTTTTACAAGGTTACGGTATGACAGAAGCAGCGGGTACACTCACAGCTGAATCTGAAGATGATTGTAAAGAAGGAAGTGTCGGTAAAATTGTAGCTGGAAATATAATTAAGGTATAAATTACTTCTAGAGTCATGAAATACAATAAAGAATTATTTATTAAATTAGTCCTTAAGACTACCCTATCTGATTTTCATCTGGAGATACTACTTATTAGAATAAGTTGCTGATAAATTGGTGGTTTGTGGTTCTCGATACACGTTTAAAGACTAATAAAATAGGGATCCCATATTTAAGATATATCATAGCTGCCTTCATAGCTTTGTCAGTAGACAGACAGTATATAATTCAAGATCGTGGGATGAATTTGCATTCATTTTGTAGTTTAAAATTATGTTTGTTTGGTAAAACGTGGGCTGCAAGTAGGATAGCGGCTGGAGCAACTTAAGTAATTGGGCAAAATTGTACATTTAAATGTTCACTTTTTCTTATTTTCTAAAAATCGGAATTCGAAATTCTCATGTCAACCACGTTATATTGATTCAGTTTATAAAACAAACTGAAAACATTTTGTTAATGGACGCTGTGTGTAAATTGGTATAGGATTTCATTGAAAAAGCACAAATATTTTTATATATATAATTTCTCAAAACACTAAAAGCATACACAAAAGGCCGGACACAAAGTACCTTTTGGACATCAGAAATATATTTTTATTTTTTATTATTACTTTTAGATAGTTGATGTCGAGACTCGTAAAATATTGGGTCCCGGTCAGACGGGGGAAGTTTGTCTGAAAGGCGCCGCACAGTTCGATGGTTATATTGGAAAAGATTCTAAAGACGAATTTGATGAGGACGGCTTCTATAAAACTGGTGACATCGCTTATTACGATGAAGATGGTTTCTTCTACGTAGTTGATAGAATTAAAGAACTTATTAAATATAAGGCTTGGCAGGTTAGCATTGAAAAAATCTATTTTAACTACTTTGAAAAATTGACTTTATAAGGAATGACGTCATCAGCGACTAGTATTTTCACTGTCCTTGAATAGACAACAAAACGGTAGTAGGTCATAAAGTATAAGTAGACCCTAAGAATAAATTTATCATATTAAAGCTTAAGAGGATCTTAGTGACGGTTTCGTGTGGAAGTAAAACTCTTAAAAAATCCATAGGTACCACCGTCAGAATTAGAAGATCTGTTACTACAACACCCGGCTGTCAAAGACGCAGCAGTATCTGCTCGCCCTGATGTACTCGCTGGGGAACTGCCAACCGCTTTTATTGTTAAACAACCAAACGCAAATATTGCAGAAAGGGATATAGTAGAATTTATTGATAAAAAGGTTCGTACCAAAAACAGTATTTTGATGCTTATTGCTTTCAAGTTGAAATGCTATTTTTCAGATGAAATCTTATTTTTTTTGTTAGGGAGAAGGAACAAAGCATTTTAATTTTAATATGCAGGTAATATTTGTATGACTATGCCAGAAAGATTCGGTGAGGAATATAATATTGCTTTTTATCTATAAAAATTAGGTACAAAACTGAAAAACTCTCATGTTATATAACGCTTAAAGTCTCTCAGTTCCGTTACAATGAAAATGGAAACATTATTCCCACGAGAGGTTGGGAAAATAACAATACAATTTTCAATGGTAAAGAGCGTCGTGCGCTGCACTCGGCCGCTGGACTAATAAAGTGCCGTGTTCACATGCAGGTGTCGCCCTGGAAGAGACTACGAGGCGGTGTGATATTCGTGAAGGAGATACCGAAAACATCGAGCGGTAAAATTATAAGGCGGAAACTAGGTGAGATGCTACCTAAGCTACCAGCCAGCAAGCTTTAAATACAACTTGAAGACATTTTTAATAATCTAACTTAACCTAAAAAGTATAATATTGAGCACTATAGAGTATAAATGTTTAAAACGATGTCACGTAAACCGACTAAAAGTTAAAGCAGTTAAAAACAATATTATGTTTTTTTAACATTATATTATGTTTTTAAACAATATTTTTAATTATTAATTAATTTTTAACAAAATATCGGTTGTGGATTCTATCGGTTATTACAACCGAATGCTGTCAGTCTCTTTGATGTCGTTATAAACGATTTGACTGTAGTTGCGTAGACATACGCAATTTATTTCTTCCTTAATAAAGTATTATTTTGATTTATTCAAAGTGGTATTTAATTTTTATTCTATTAAGATACTAGATCTCGCCCGCAACGTCGTCCGCGCGTAATTTAAAAGAAACTTAAAAGTAGCCTATGTGTTCTTCCAGACTATGCAGCCTTCCTAGAAATACCTTCTATTAAACATCCATCCGTCTATCTGAACAATCGTATTTGTAATATTAGTAAGATTTATGTACAGTCTTGTGGCATACTTTTTCCTGTCTATTTGCAGTTCTATTCATATAACGCGGCCCAAGGTATTTTTTTGTAGCTGTGACACAGTAAAAGTTAATTGTTTTATGTATACAAAGACATTATGTTCTCTGTATTTCGATATTTAAATTTCATAAAAAGTTGTTCTGGCAGGATACAAACTTATCGACTTTCACACACTAGTGTTAAAAAGACCACTAATAGCTTGTCACAACTAAGGTACTTTTTTTTTGCAAGGTTGTGTATGAACGAGAAAAAATAGTCATTTTAACTACAAAAAGATACAATTTACATTAAGCACCATGTATGTTTAATTTCTGAGTAAAAAGTCCTTCATAATCCGATAAAAGCTCTTTTACCTGCCAATACGTTTAAAGCCGTAAGCCAAAAGGTTTTACTTTTTTTTGTAGAAATAAAGCTGTGTTAATTTTAAATTGACAAAGTTGACATTAATTCTTAACGAGTAAATAACTTGTTAATGTATTTATAGAGTGATAACAATGGATAGGTATCGATTTAATTATTTATGTCTAAATATTTTACTACTTTGAAAGTAAATGACTTGGAGCCTACACTAAGTTAGGAGTGACTAGGCCATAGTCAACCACGCTGGCCAAGTGCGGGTTAGTTGACTTCACACATATCTTTGAATTTCTTCTTAGATGTGCAGGTTGCATCACGATGTTTTCCTTCACCGTAAGAACGTCGGATAAATGTACATATGTAAATCGAAAAACACATTGGTACAAGGCGGGATTCGATCCCAGAACCTGCAGATTGCAAGCCAAGTGCTTGACCCCTGAGCCACCGACGCTCTTCAGCCACCGACGTTCTTCTAATATTCTTCTCGCTCTTTTAACAATAATAAGTAGTCTTTGTATTCGTTCCGACTTTGTTCTACACGTGTGCCAAATTTCATCGAAATCAGTTGAGTCGTTTCGGAGGTACCTTCAAACAAACATCCATCTATCCTTAAATCTAAACTTTCACATTGATAGTATTAGTAAGATAATATTAAAATAAGCCTTACTATCCGCAGTGGAAGGAAACTACCGGACTCGCGTCATTTGTGTTTGCAAGTATTATAATATAAGCAAATGATCATGAAAACATAGAATAAGCATTATTTATGTACCGATCGCTAAGCTAGTATCCTAAGCTTTTAACTTAAACATCATGATATGGATATATTAGTGTTCAATATGGATGCTTCTACGACTACATATACTCAGTCCCAGTTATCTGAACACGCTTCTCTCTTGTTATTTTCGTATATTTAAATATATCGATTTTTAAAAACATTCCTTGTTCTTTACAAATCTTATCTTGTATTTCGTTGTAAATCTGTCTCCATGGTAAAGTTTTGTTATGCATTGTTTGATTTCAAGACCACCCAAACTGTTGTGAAAAATGTAACAGATAAAAACTAAAAAAATATTGTATCTGTAGTCAATATAAAAAGGTCACAGTCGTAAATTTATTATTTGTAAATGCAGCCTATCCAATAACATGTCATCTTCATGCCTCAACCTTTCTTAGTACGGCCTCACAATAAAAGCACATAATAAAAACATAACTTTTATAAGACGCGTACACCGCCATACGAACCGACAAGTTATACGACGGTAAACATTTACCTTTCAATGCCGCATTCACTCTATCCAGATCGTAAAGTGACAGTGGAAGTGGCTCGTTCAAGAGTCGCAGCCGCTGCTTCTCACCGTTAAGGCCACCGTAAAAACCGTCGCTCAAAAATATTCCCGAAGAGTGTCTATATAGTTTGTACGCGCACTTGTTTGATTGCAACCAATCAACGAACACGATGCCACCGTTTAAAGTACGATCGTCACCTGATATAATGTAATTTTTCAACTCGTCCACGTCACCTTTCATAACCAGGCGTAAATATAATTTGTAACTGATGAATACTTTTAGTTTGGGTTTTTTGCCGCGCTTTATCTTCCTCACTCTCAGTACTCGAGCGGTGAAAATATATTTCGATTCAGACACGGCCGACGACAGGATCTCGTAGTCATTAGTTATCGTCTCGTTTAAAACACATTTGGAGCCATTTGTGTTTTTCTTGCGGTGGAGCGTATCTCGCTTTTTTATCGCGTACCCCGTATGGATTTTAGGATATACGCTCGTGATACAGAACAGGAAAAACACTACGAGACGCAACTTCATTTTCGTTTTTTTCGTTCGAATAACTTTGTGACAAATGTCAAAACGAAAGGCATATCTGTACCGACGTCGAAGCTTTTGATGAAAACGTATCGGTGAACACGGCGCGGACACAAAGTTGCGCAAGGTGGGAGTTGGCGCCGCCGAGACGCGTGCGCTAGCGCAGCCTCGTGCGCACACTGGGGGCCTCGCAATTCTATGCAACCTTCATCGAAGTAAACAAACTTGGCCGTATGTTAGGTTAATCTATCGACCGCTGTCGATAAGTTGCCTAATTAAGCAGCGCTTACTAATACCGCTTGAAAGTAAAAAGTTGTAAAGTTGTCGCACTACCGCTGCACTTCCATACGGATAACAATATTTCCTCTAAAAATAAAGTTATTATTAAACTCAACGTTTTTGACAACCCTATTTGCTAAACTGGCGACGATTTCAGAGTCAATACATAACGGTAGCTGTAACAGTGAACGGTAAATCTAAATCTGGAATAAAGCAAAGCTGACTGTTACCGAAGCGGAGACGAGACGTTCGTACAATTGATGTTTTGATGGGTCAGCGAGTAGGATAACCGCAAGGGAGAGATAATATTCGCCGGCGCAATATGGCGCAAGTTAACAGTTATTGGCGGCCCGACTCCCGGCCCGCCGCCCGTCGCCTTACTCTGAATATTCATGTTTGGACGCCTATCCCCGAAACGTTCCGCTGTGTACATTTGTTAACCTATATTCACATGTCATACGGGACTAATGTTGCGATAAGGTACAAATCCATGAATATTTTATTTAGTTCTTTATCTACGTATTTTAAAAAAAATATTTCAAATTGTTGTGTCAAATACATACTACCCCAAAAACACATCGTGAACCTAAAAATAAGTGGCTTTATAAGAACAATCTTCATGACATTATCATTGAATGTTTTAACAACTTAAATTAAAATGAATCCAGCTTATTTTCAATCTTGATTAACCGCCATGTTTGTACTTGTTCAAGATATGAGGCAATTAACACACAATAAATTCGATTAGCTTTTATTGTTTTATTTCAATGTGAAAAGGAAAAAGAATGAAGATGTTTATTCAAATAAAAGTAGCAAAAAGTAAGCTGTGTTACCTCACATCGATAAAAGACGGAAAAGAAGGAACTAAGTTAATAAAATTGTAGTTTCGCTAAATCTTTATCATAGCGTATGTTTCAATATCGATCTCATCAAATACTAAACATAACTCAATTGGTATACCTACCGTTACGCCTCAAGTTGTGGCCAAGTTTGAGAGTCAGTTACCGAATAATTCACTTTGAAAATTTGATCAACTCTGTACTCAACGTGTTATGTTACGTTAGCCACACGTCATATAGTTTTTGAGGAATAAGCTCTTATCTATCCGTCTTTTTACGTAATGTCAAAATAATATTAAATTAATGATAGCAAACTTATTAATCGATTCAAACAATAGTAACTATACACTAATCAAGTTATGTAGATCAATTTATTTTTAAAAATGATTCGAATTAATGATCTGAAATCATAAAAATACGAAATTTGCATTAAATCCAATTCGAAAGCAACATTCACTGTGTAATTGAGTGGTAATTCAATTCACAAACATACTTTTTTTTATACAAAAAAATAATAATGTTTTTTTACCTCTTATGTAACTTTGCTCGTCTTAAATATAATATAGAGAGTCATATATTAATATTAATAATATTGTAAAGTCGCAGAGTTAATAAGCAAGTCATAAATCATATGAAAATGAAGAAACAATAATTACAGATTAAAAAATACAGTCCGCGATTGTATGACGTCGTAGGTGATTGCAGCTCGCGCAAGGAATTTGGAAAGTGGTACGAGCGTGGGCGGGCGAGTCGCCGTCGCCATCGTCGCGCTGCCGACGAATCTTCGACGTCGCACTTTATTATTTTATAGCATTTTTCATAGACACTAGTTTATTTATATTCTATCACGTTGAACCAAAAGCGGACTATGTATGCAATCTTATCGAACACATAAATCTAATCTGTAGATGGGATAGGAATTTTAAGAGCTGATTTTAAATATGTTTATACGATTTATTGCGATCAATAACGTAAGCTGGATTATAAAGATGTTATTTTGTAAGAGATTAAAATGTTACTTTTAACAATAAGCTCATCAATTACGACATTAATTCTATCAAATTATTTATGTTGCGTTTAAGGTATTTTTGTTTTAATGAAAATTATATTTAATTATATTAGTCCTCATAGATGAAAGTGACAACCCTATCATGACAAAGAAATCTTGTATTAATTTTCTTCAACTCACGATATCTCCTGTTATAAAACAAAAATTGAAATTCTCAGCCCATTAAGATTGGCAACAATAGGATTTTTTACGATAGAAAAGAAAAAAAAATATTGTTTCGAGCTCGCCTTTAACTCACGTGGACGCTTTTAATATCCTGTCAATGCTTATTAAGCGGATTAAACGGCACGCATCTGCAATTGTTGAGATTATCTGGAAATATTCTCACGAACCCCGCAAAATGGATTATTGGATAAAATATTGGATTTATCCTCAGTTTCATATCTTTGTCTCAAATTAATTCTATCGTATTTTT